GGGCTGAGTGAGTGTCTGTTGTTTACCAGAACTGTCTTCACCCTGATATGGTTCCTTCTTTGCACAGCAGAGGCCTCTGCTGGCCACAGTAAGATTTTCAGTCTGTGGCCTGCACTGCAGCAGAAACAATTAACAGTGAAGGGACAATCTACAGGTGTGAGAGAAGACATCTGTGGACCATCGATTCAATGAGAGGTTGGTATTCAAACACATAAGTAATTCAAATAACTCAACAGCAGGAAAGTAACCTGGTTATAGACAGAAAGATCTACCATTTCCCAAGAAAAGACCATATGTGGATAGTCAACAGGTAGGTAAACAGCATGTTCAATAGCCCTAATCATTAGGGAAATGCAAAATAAAATAATACCACCTCACATCTATTGGAATGGCTGCTATCAAATGGATAAAAGATTAAGTGTTGATAAGGATTTAGAAAACAGAGGATCTTTGCACATAGTACTGGCAAAAACATAAATTAGTACAGCCATTATGGAGAACTGTATAGAGAGCTCTCAAAGGTTAAAAACAAAAAGAGAGGCTGGAGAGATGGCTCAGCAGTTAAGAGCACTGATTGCTCTTGCAGAGGACCCACATGGAAGCTAACAACTATCTTTAACTCCAGTTCCAGGGGATCTGATGCCCTCTTCTTATCTCCACTAGCACTGCACAAGGGTATATTTACATACATGCAGGCAATACACTTGTACACATAAACTAAAACTAATTTAAAAAGCATTTAAAAAAAAAAAGGACTGGAGAGATGGCTCAGCAGTTAAGATCACTGACTACTCTTGCAGAGGACTCAGGTTCGATTCCCAGCATCCACATGGCAGCTAACAATTATCCGTAACTCCAGTTTCAAGGGATCTGGCCCCCTCTTCTGACCTCTGCGGGCATTGTAAAACATTGGCACACAGGCTATACGTGCATACACATTAAAAAGTACATTTAAAAATTTTTTTAAAGAGCCAGTCATGGTGGCACACACCTTTAATCACAGTACTTACAAGACAGAGTCAGGCAGACTTCTCTGAATTTGAGGCCGGCCTGGTCTACACAGCAAGGTCTAGGCCAATCAGGCCTATATCATGAGACTCTGTCTTTAAAAAAAAAAAAAAAAAAAAAAAAAGACAAGAGCCAGGCATGGTGGTGATGGTGATGCATGCTTTTAGTCCCACCTCTCAGGATGCAGAGGCAGGCAGCTCTTTGTGAGTTCGAGGCCAGCCTGGTCTACATCACGACTTCCAGGCCAGCTGGGGCTACAGGGAGACCTTATCTCAAAAAGACCGAGAAAAAAAAAAAAAAGGCAGTAAAATGTGGCAGTCACTGGTCAGGGAGGGACCAGAGCAAAACAGTGCCTTCCAGATATGACAGGCCCACTGCACCCATGAACTCATAGCAGCTACCACTCCTGTGCAAGACCTGCACACGATCAATACAGCCAACATTCTAGTATGAAATGGGAAGGGTTCATTCATGAGCCCCCTGCTTAACTGAGGACCTGCGGACAGTTGATGGCTTCTGGAGGAGGAAGAATGTCAGTCTTATTTAATGATGTGGCCCCTGGTAGGTTGACCACACTCCAGTGGATGGCCCCACATCCAGTATATGGACAACGCAAAATGGAATTGTAAGTTATTAAATTTAAAAAATAAAAGAGGACAGTTATGAGGGTGTTGGAAGGTAGAGGTGGATCTGGGATGAATATAATCAAAATACAGTGGGTGAAATTCTCAAACAATAAAATATTTTAATATAATAAGAAAAAAGTTAAAAGAAAGAAAATGTGACATAGAAACATAATGGAATATCATTCAATCTTTAAAAAAAGAAAAACCTTGTTACTTGCAACAATATGAATTACCCTGGATGGCATTAAACTTAGTGAAGCTGACCAGCTTCCAGAACACAAATACTAAATGATCTCACTCATGTGTGAAGTCTAAAATGGTTGCACTTATCAAAGTAGAAAGAATAGTGGTTACCAGACGTGGGAGGAATGGGGGATGTTGGTCAAAGAGTGAAAAGTTTCAGTTAGCTGAAAGGAACTTTTTTTAATGTGTATGAGTGTTATGCCTGCGTGTAGGTAAGTGCACCCGTGTCGTGCAATGCCCACGGAGGACAGAAGAGGCTGTCAGATCCCCTGGAACTGGAGTTACAGACAGTTATTAGCTGCTATGTGGATGCTGGCATTCAAACCCGGGTCTTCTGCAAGAACAGTCAGTGTTCTTAACCACTGAGGCATCTCTCCAGCCCCCAGGAATAATTTTTTGAGATTGATTATACGGCATATTGATTATATGGTTTAATCTTAGTCATCAACTTGACTGGAGCTGGAGTCAACTAAGAGTCAATTCTTATATTAGTTCTTCAGTATATTTTTGTTGATTAGTGAAGGTCTGGTGTGATTGTTAGGTTTGTTACTAGGTATTTAGTTTGTTTCTCCCAGCACCTGGGAGATGCAGGCAAGAGCATGAGGAGTTCAAGGATAGCCTCAGTTATGTAAGATTTTTGTCTCAAAAAATATTAAAAGTTAAATAGAAATAAAAACATAACCATTTGTAATTTTCTCCTCAATTTATGTGCTTCCTTGGGCTAACTTATTGCATTGTTTTAGATCTCTCATGCACTTATTAAAAGCAGTAGCAATCCTTACTTTGTTTCTGACTTCAGTGACAGTGCCTCTGGAAGTTTACATTA